GTGTTTGTCCATGTGCTCATCAGGAATCACAGTCTTGGCTTCTTTGTTTTGTTTTCCAGAGACATCAAGCCTGACAATATATTACTGGATGAACACGGTAAGCCCATCACGAACACTTGTAAAGACCCTCGGGGGACACTCGATGCATGAGGGGCTGGGGGCTGGGGGTAAGTTGGAGTTTAGGGTTGACGGTGCACTAAGCATGGAACTGTGAGTCAAAAGGCCGGTGGTTTGAATGCAGCGGCCACTTTGGAAACCCGATGGGCAGTTGGACTCTGTTCTAGAGGGTTGCTATGAGTTGGAATGGACCGCATGGCAGTGGGTAGACAGCTGTTGACGTCCGTCCCAGTGCATAAACAGCTGCGTAAGGCTCCTGGCTTTCCGTCTGCCGTGGTAAGTTGGGTCCAGCATATTACGTATTTGACAGTTTCATAGCTGAAGACATCATTGTCCGTGTCCTCGTGTGAGGACAAGAGAGCTGCAGTAGGACAAAGATGGGATCCAGGATTGGAACGCTTTGCGATTTGGACACAGCTTCTCCCCTGTTGAGTCTGTGGCGATGGAAAAGCCACTCGTCTCTGAACTTCAATGCAATCTTCTGTAAAGTGAACATTGTCATGAGACTCCAATGAGATAGCGTGTCTCTGGCATGCTGGGGGTCAATGCTGATAACCCCCTAAATCTTCTCCCGTGGGCTGTAGCAGATTCTGTGCTGACTGGTCACCTTGGGGCTCATCACTTGGCAGATCCTGATTCAGTGGGGCTAGAAATGCTGATCAGCTCCCAAATGATCCTATGTTTACGGCTCATGGGCCATACTTTGAGTGTTGTCATTTTCAGGTGCCGTCTAGTAGTTTCCTACTCAAAGGGGTGGTATAGACAACAAAACAGAACACTGCCCACTCCTGGCCCATCTTCCCCATTACTGCTGTGTTGGGGCCCATAGTTGAAGCCACGGTGTCCATGCGTTTCATTGAGGGCCAGCTTCTTCTTTATTGACTGTCTACTAAGGACGATGCGCTGCTCCAGAGCCCGGCCCTTCCTGCTGGTGGCTGTCCAATGTCTGTGAGACAAAGGCTCATCGTTCTTGATGACGAATCCAAGGAGCATTCTGGCCGTCCCTTTCCAAGAGAGCTCTGCTTGGTCTTCCAGTAGTCCATGGTATATTGTGGCTCCCCTAGCAGCGCCCTTTTTAAATGCAGCCTTCCCATACATGGGAAGTGCTGAAGATAGCATGGTGTGCCTGGGTCATTGAGCCTTGGTCCTCAACGTGGCATCTGTGGTTTTACAGCAGATTTGCCGAATGCAATATGTCATTCGATTTCTTGACGGATCCAGTAAAACGAGATTCCTGACCACTGCAACTCGGAGTAGCAAGGCTCTAAAGCAGCAGTTTTCAACCCGTCAGTTGCGACCCCCTTTCGCAGGGGTCGCCTAAGACCATATTTCGGATGGTCTTAGAAACCAAAACACAGCTCTATCCATCTCCAGGCGGGTCCGCCCACATGCAGATACGCCCACATATGGGGTCACCCCAACATGAGTTAACTGTATTAAAGGGTCGCGGCATTAGGAAGGTTGAGAACCTTCCTAAGCTAAATCAATGGCTCTCCCTCCAACTGTGGACAGATCACAATCAGCTGGGGGACTTGCTACCCAGCCTAGACCCACGGCTTGTCCTGCACCTTTGGCCTGGGCTCCTGGATTGTGTACGAACTCTCCCAGGATATGACCCTCGAGAACCACGGCTCTGTGATGTAGGGGCAGCATCTTA